CCACTGATCACACAGGACCCACATAATACCATGGCCCTGCCCAGGATTAGGGCCCTGCCCAGGGCTACGGCTCTGCCCAGGGCTAGGACCCTACTTAATATTACAAAAGAAAATATTTCCTCATATTTTAGGGACCCTGATCCACCACGAGGCCTGGTCTCAGACCGGGCCGCGGGGGCGTTGACCCCCTGAAACCCTCTCCAGGTATACTCCAGGTATATAGCCTAAAACTCCCATCCCCCCCCCCACTTAACCACACACCAGAACACCTTGTTCCCACAACTGCTAGATTCAGTTTATATCAGGTTAGATTAGGTTTACGATAGGTTAGATTGGGCTTACGGCAGATTATATTAGATTTACGGTAGGTTAGGTTAGATAAGGTTAGTTATAATTAGGGTAGGTTAGATAAGATTAAGTTTGGTTATATTGGACGTTAAATTAGGCTGATATTAGATTCAGGAGGATTAGTAATGGTAACTTTAGTAGCATGAATATTAGTGAGGGTGTTAGTAATGGTGTAAGTTGTGTTGGTGGGTGATGGTGGTGGTGATTGGTGGTGTGGGTGGTGGTGGTGCTTGGTGGTGGTGGTGGTGCTTGGTGGTGGTGGTGCTTGGTGGTGGTGGTGGTGCTTGTTGATGATGGTGGTTGGTGGTGGTGGTAGTGGTTGTAAGTTTAAATTCTAAACACTCTTTGTCAGCAGGATGGTTGGAGTGAGTGGAGGGTGGGGAGAGAGCTTTCTGCATGACTATCCTGACATCGGCTATTCCTAGCAGATAACCAAGATATCACCAGTATCATCTTGTGTGTTTTCTACTATTTATCCCCCCCCCAGTCTATTTTTCTACTCTCCCGTCATCTGTCTCCTTCCCTCCCTTATCACCCACATCTTCCTTCTTCCCCCTCTTCCGACCTTTCAAAAAAGTTCTCCCACTCGTTCTTGCAAAACTTCAGTTGCACGAAGGGTGTTGCATCTGTTTGGATCCACGGGGAAACATCCAGTTCTCAGTGTTGCAACACACCAGTCAAGTTTCCTCTGCAATACACTTTGCAACCTTAACTTGAGAGCTCTCGCCGACAAGACTCAAAATAGGCACAGTTTATCGATTTATTCCGACACCAAGTTTGCTCTGACTCCCGATTAATTAGGCCATTGTTGGTTAGTTAATGGGACGTTAAAGTTGGTCACCTACACCAGAGACATTTAAACCTCACGTCTCTCACTCCAGAACATTTTAATCCCTGAACGAGGTATATATACTGAGAGATGTATACCTTTTAGTGTATATGCGTTGTAATTATTTTTAATTCTATTTTAAGGGTGTGTATATTCTCGTGGGGGGCTTTTATTTATAGTAAAATATAATTGTTATTTTGATATTTTGTTATCGTGAATAGTTTTTGGGTAGTCCAGTTGTATTTTTTCCCTTTATCTTTGCTTGTTATTTTTGTATCTTGTGTTATCTTGTTATTCTGTGTTATCTTTCATTGTATCTTGTGGTATCTTTCCGTATCTTCTTAATTGTGGTATCTTTCCGTATCTTGTTATATTATCTTGTGTTATCTTGCTATATTTCGTTGTTCTTTCCTTGTGTTATCTTTCGTTTTGTTCTCTTTCCTTGTGTTATCTTGACAGTTGCCGCAGCTGCTTAACATTTTCTCATATTTTTCTTAATTTCTTGGTATATTAACTGGCGGTGCTGGATCGAACTTTCCAGTGTCGCTAGACAGGTGCAGAAGAGCACTTGTATTGAGAACTTCTCTCTGAAGAGGAGAACTTACAAGACTGATACCTGGAATATCTTAAGGAAGAATGCGACGTCTTAAAAATAAATCTTTGTGGCACTCAGATTACACACACACACACACACACACACACACACACACACACACACACACACACACACATCTGGGATCTGGAGGAGTATACCTGGAGGGTATTCCAGGGGTCATTGCCCCCGTGGCCCGGTCCATGACCATCATTCAAAATGATCACCACGCCCAAGGTCTCATTTAAGTAGGTAGCGACAGCGAGTGTAGACAGGTCTACCCTGCAGGCAACACCAGTAAGCTTCTGTACCATAAGGTCTAACACCATTAAAGACCATATGAAGACCAACAGTCGGGACCATTGTAACCCAGGGGTTTTTGTTATACCTTCCGGTAACATATGAAGGTGAGATGTTTGACAGTCTAATAACCAGGCTACATTAACACCAGTAGTTTACACAGGTCAAGAGTCGTCTCATCAAAAGTTCTGATTTGCAGTTGTCTATTTCAGGCAATTTGTCGGCTACAAGCCATTGCACTCCAAACTCTGTTGGGCCAGACTTTGGCGTGTTGGGCCAGACTTTGGCGTGTTGGGCCAGACTTTGGCGTGTTGGGCCAGACTTTGGCATGTTGGGCCAGACTTTGGCGTGTTGGGCCAGACTTTGGCATGTTGGGCCAGACTTTGGCATGTTGGGCCAGACTTTGGCATGTTGGGCCAGACTTTGGCGTGTTGGGCCAGACTTTGGGGTGCGTGTTGGGCCAGACTTTGGCGTGTTGGGCCAGACTTTGGCGTGTTGGACCAGACTTTGGCGTGTTGGGCCAGACTTTGGCATGTTGGGCCAGACTTTGGCGTGTTGGGCCAGACTTTGGCATGTTGGGCCAGACTTTGGCATGTTGGGCCAGACTTTGGCATGTTGGGCCAGACTTTGGCGTGTTGGGCCAGACTTTGGCGTGTTGGGCCAGACTTTGGCGTGTTGGGCCAGACTTTGGCGTGTTGGGCCAGACTTTGGCGTGTTGGGCCAGACTTTGGCGTTTTAGGTTGAAACATTTAAGTATTTAAGTCATTTCAATTTTTGTAGTAAATAGAATTTGGATTCTGCTTTAGTTTGGCGTCCGTATTTGTCTTACTGTTTTGCCAGATAGTATCTACCCCTTCTCCTCCTCCTCTTTGCCTATTGAACCCCTATACACACTTTATCCTGTTATCAGTATTGCATGATAGAGGGTGGAGAGAGAGCCCTCTGCTTTACTATCCTGGCCTAGTCTGGCTAGCAGTCCACGTTTACCAAATTCTCTTTTCCCCTGTTTATTATCCTCTTTCTCCCTTATCTTCCTCCCCTCGTTGGCATTTTCCTCTTTCCTACCTCCCGTACCTCACCTTCCTACCTCCCGTACCTCACCTTCCTACCTCCCGTACCTCACTTTCCCATTTATTCTATCTCTAATTATCATGGTCTCACCTTTTCCTATCTTTATCAGCACACTCTTACCGTCTCTTCGCCCACGTCTCGTCAGCAAAGGCGGTTACCAGGTGTCACATGATCAGGCTGGAGGAGACGGGTTTAAATCTGATGTTCCACTTCTCCTTATGCCCTTCACCATTGCCTCAGTGAGGAAGTGGGATGGGAAGGTGAGAGGTGTTGGAGAGATGGAGGCAGAAAGAGAAGGAAAATAAATGGCGCTTACGTAGAGACTAGCTAAATTTTATTTTTTACCTCTTGTCTTGAATAACACACTATTATTATTATTATTATTATTATTATTATTATTATTACTAAATATAATGACAATACAATTATCACAATCACAGTAAAAATCACAATGTGAGTTTTGTGATTGTGATAATTGTGACATTGTTATTATTATTGTGAATATTATTAAATTCGCTGGCATCAGTTTCAATTTCCACAAGATCCGTCACATGGAGTATGTGAATCTGGGATGATTATACCGTAGACTTTTTCCTCGTAACTCTGCCCTTGAAAAATATATTACTTACAAGAACCATGAACAGTAACAATGGTAGACTCGTGTAAATAAAACCACCTGTCTCACCCCGGAAGCTTCTTCGACGCCATCTTGAAAAATATATCGGCTGTTCACTTATTTTTTTTAACCGTCGTAAAAAAGAAATAATGAAAGATTTCAGTATTAATATTAGAGTATATTTGGATTCTCGGTACGACTAATATTTTCGAGAAAATAAACATTGAAATTTAAAACGACCCCCTCCCCTACCCCTTCCTTATATTTTCAATGCTGTTTAATGTTCTATTATGGAAATGTATTATTATTAAAAAATAAACCCGTCAGAGTCGCACCATGTTCACTCATGAACATGGGCTATATATAATAATATATATATATATATATATATATATATATATATATATATATATATATATATATATAATATATTATATATATATGTATATGTCGTGCCGAATATGTAAAACTGGTCAATTAGCAAGAACTCGTTTAAAATTAAGTCCTTTCCAAAATTTTCTCTTATACGTTTAAAGATATATTTTTTCATTAATGTTGATGTAAAAATTTATAATTTTGCACCAAAAGGAACTTAGAAAACTTACCTAACCTTATAACAAAAGCAATTTATTTTAGCCTAATCCACCTAAATATATTTTAGATTTGTTTACAATAATTTAATACTAAACAAACACAGTGAAATATATTTTTATCGTTAGGTTCAGAATGATTTTGGCGAAATTATTGCATACACAAATTTTAACTTGTCCTATATGGCAAGATGAGCGTTGCTATTTAAGCCAAGATCGCAAGTTCTGCCTATTCGGCACGACATTATATATATATATATATATATATATATATATATATATATATATATATATATATATATATATATATATATATATATATATATATATATATATACACACAAAACAACCACTCTGAAAGAATAGAGAAATTCCAAGCGCTTTCGTGACTACTCACATTAGTCACGAAAGCGCTTGGAATTTCTCTATTCTTTCAGAGTGGTTGTTTTGCATATTCTGAAATCACCTGTTTACTGTGATCTTATTGCATATATATATATATATATATATATATATATATATATATATATATATATATATATATATATATATATATATATATATATATATATATATACACACACGTTTTAACCTTTGTAATTGTGCGATGCAAATTCATTTCATGTTTGTCTTCTTTATTCTCCTCGTCCACAGGGTTGTGGTGTCCACGAGTGTGGGACCGGATGCTGTGTTGGGGACCAACTGCTCCCAACACCACCATCACTCTTCCCTGCCCTGACTACGTCCCTGGTATCATCACTGAGGTAGGTCACCCCTGACTACGTCCCTGGTATCATCACTGAGATAGGTCACCCCTGACTACGTTCCTGGTATCATCACTGAGGTAGGTTACCCCAGACTACGTCCCTAACCAACACTACAGGCCAAGTGTCTATCAGTAAGTGCCTTTGACACCTAGTAACATAGTCTCTCTCTCTCTCTCTCTCTCTCTCTCTCTCTCTCTCTCTCTCTCTCTCTCTCTCTCTCTCTCTCTCTTCTCTCTTCTCCTCTCTCTCCCTCTCTCTCTCTCTCTCTCTCTCTCTCACACACACACACACACACACACACACACACTCTCAGGTGTGTACGTCAGGCCCATAATGGAGTGTGCAGCACCAGTTTCGAACCCACACCTGGTCAAGAAATTAGAGGAAGTGTAAAGGTTTGCAACAAGACTAGTTCCAGAGCTAAGGGGAATGTCCTATAAAGAAAGGTTAAGGGAAATCGGCCTGACGCCACTGGAGGACAGGAGGGTTAGAGGAGTCATGATAACGACATACAAAATACTGCGAGGAATTGACAAGGTGGACAGAAAGAGGATGTTCCAGAGATGGGACACAGAAACAAGGGATCACAATTGGAAGTTGAAGATTCGGATGAGTCAAAGGGATATTAGGAAGTATTTCTTTAGTCATAGAGTTGTCAGGAAGATGAACAGTCTGGCTAGTGACGTAGTGGAGGCAGGAACTAGACATAGTTTAAAGACGAGATTTGATAAAGCTAATGGAGCAGGGGAATTGAGAGGACCTAGTAGCGATCAGTGAAGAGAGGCCAGGAGCTGTGACTCGACCCCTGCAACCACAAATAGGCGAGTATACACACACACGTAGTTTTTAATCATGTGATTACATTTAATGTTAAATAGGAAAAGCAGTATACAGTGAAATGAACAATAACTACAAACTGAGGAAGTCTGTTGCTACCTGCGGAGTGATTGATTAAGTCTGGGAATTGTTGGTAATCAGTCGTGGGTCAACATGATCAATCAACTCGGTGCGCAAATATGTTGTGACCCCCAGCTCCACTTTCCATGGAAGGAGTGGGGTTGTTTTAGTGCCCGTCCCTTTATGACGGAAAGGGACTCTTTGGTCCCAAAAAACCCTCTCTCGGATAAACCCTTTCCTCGGTCTGTATGATCCCTAGAAAAGCTGCGCCTTGGGTCAAAGTCTAGCGCAAGCTGGACTCCAAGGGAGGGCCCCTGTGGGGGATTTTAAAACACTGCGTTTTCCCTTTTTCCAAGGGGTCGAGGGGTTTGAGTCCCTTCAGCCAGAGATCATGTTTTTGTATATTTTCGCCTGCTCTTTGCGAATTCCTTCATATATATATAATAATATATATTTTAAATAATATATATAATAATATATATATATAATATATTATATAAATAATATAATATTTTATTTTTTCCACCGGGCCCATTCCCCCAAGGCAGGGTGGCCCAAAAAGAAAAACTTTCACCACTTTCACCCTCCTGTCTTGCCCCAAAGGGGCTTACACTACAGTTTTTTAAAAGCAACATAACCCCCTCCTTCAATGCAGGGACTGTACTTTCCCTCCCAGGACCCAAATCCGGCTCCGGTTTCCCTGAACCCTTTTAAAATTTACTTTGCTCCACTCCAACAGCACGTCAAGTATTAAAAACCTTTTTTCCCATTCACTCCTATCAAAACCCGCTCACGCATGCCTCTGAAATCCAAGCCCCTCGCACAAAAAAACCCCTTTAAACCCCCCCCCCCCAACCCCTTTCCCAGGGCCCACCCCTACCCCGCCTTTCCCTTTCCCCTAAAGACTGCACTCTTTAATCATTCTGTTTCGCCCATCCTCTACATGTCCAACCACCTCAAAAACCCTTCCTCAGCCCCGGACAACAGTTTTGGGAATCCCGCACCTCCCCTAACTTCCAAACTACAATTCCTGCATTAATTCACACCACACATTGCCCTCGACAGACATCCCACGCCTCCGCCTTCTCCTCGCTGCAACATTCATCACCCACGCTTCACACCCATATAAGAGCGTTGGTAAAACTATAACTCTCATACATTCCCCTCTTTGCCTCCAAGGACAAAGTTCTTTGTTTCCACAGACTCCTAAGTGCACCACTCACTCTTTTTCCCTCATCAATTCTATGATTCACCTCATCTTTCATAGACCCATCCGCTGACACGTCCACTCCCAAATATCTGAATACGTTCACCTCCTCCATACTCTCTCCCTCCAATCTGATATTCAATCTTTCATCACCTAATCTTTTTGTTATCCTCATAACCTTACTCTTTCCTGTATTCACCTTTAATTTTCTTCTTTTGCACACCCTACCAAATTCATCCACCAATCTCTGCAACTTCTCTTCAGAATCTCCCAAGAGCACAGTGTCATCAGCAAAGAGCAGCTGTGACAACTCCCACTTTGTGTGTGATTCTTTATCTTTTAACTCCACGCCTCTTGCCAAAACCCTCGCATTTACTTCTCTTACAACCCCATCTATAAATATATTAAACAACCACGGTGACATCACACATCCTTGTCTAAGGCCTACTTTTAACTGGGAAAAATTTCCCTCTTTCCTACATACTCTAACTTGAGCCTCACTATCCTCGTAAAAACTCTTCACTGCTTTCAGTAACCTACCTCCTACACCATACACTTGCAACATCTGCCACATTGCCCCCCTATCCACCCTGTCATACGCCTTTTCCAAATCCATAAATGCCACAAAGACCTCTTTAGCCTTATCTAAATACTGTTCACTTATATGTTTCACTGTAAACACCTGGTTCCACACAACCCCCTACCTTTCCTAAAGCCTCCTTGTTCATCTGCTATCCTATTCTCCGTCTTACTCTTAATTCTTTCAATTATAACTCTACCATACACTTTACCAGGTACACTCAACAGACTTATCCCCCTATAATTTTTGCACTCTCTTTTATCCCCTTTGCCTTTATACAAAGGAACTATGCATGCTCTCTGCCAATCCCTAGGTACCTTACCCTCTTCCATACATTTATTAAATAATTGCACCAACCACTCCAAAACTATATCCCCACCTGCTTTTAAACATTTCTATCTTTATCCCATCAATCCCGGCTGCCTTACCCCCTTTCATTTTACCTACTGCCTCACGAACTTCCCCCACACTCACAACTGGCTCTTCCTCACTCCTACAAGATGTTATTCCTCCTTGCCCTATACACGAAATCACAGCTTCCCTATCTTCATCAACATTTAACAATTCCTCAAAATATTCCTTCCATCTTCCCAATACCTCTAACTCTCCATTTAATAACTCTCCTCTCCTATTTTTAACTGACAAATCCATTTGTTCTCTAGGCTTTCTTAACTTGTTAATCTCACTCCAAAACTTTTTCTTATTTTCAACAAAATTTGTTGATAACATCTCACCCACTCTCTCATTTGCTCTCTTTTTACATTGCTTCACACACTCTCTTAACTTCTCTCTTTTTCTCCATATACTCTTCCCTCCTTGCATCACTTCTACTTTGTAAAAACTTCTCATATGCTAACTTTTTCTCCCTTACTACTCTCTTTACATCATCATTCCACCAATCGCTCCTCTTCCCTCCTGCACCCACTTTCCTGTAACCACAAACTTCTGCTGAACACTCTAACACTACATTTTTAAACCTACCCCATACCTCTTCGACCCCATTGCCTATGCTCTCATTAGCCCATCTATCCTCCAATAGCAGTTTATATCTTACCCTAACTGCCTCCTCTTTTAGTTTATAAACCTTCACCTCTCTCTTCCCTGATGCTTCTCTTCTCCTTGTATCCCAGCTACCTTTTACTCTCAGTAAAAGCTACAACTAGAAAGTGATCTGATATATCTGTGGCCCCTCTATAAACATGTACATCCTGAAGTCTACTCAACAGTCTTATCTACCAATACATAATCCAACAAACTGTCATTTCACCCTACATCATATCTTGTATACTTATTTATCCTCTTTTTCTTAAAATATGTATTACCTATAACTAAACCCCTTTCTATACAAAGTTCAATCAAAGGGCTCCCATTATCATTACACCTGGCACCCCAAACTTACCTACCACACCCTCTCTAAAAGTTTCTCCTACTTAGCATTCAAGTCCCCTACCACAATTACTCTCTCACTTGGTTCAAGGCTCCTATACATTCACTTAAAATCCCAAAATCTCTCTCTCTCCTCTGCATTCCTCTCTTCTCCCAGGTGCATACACGCTTATTATGACCCACTTCTCGCATCCAACCTTTACTTAATCCACATAATTCTTGAATTTACACATTCATATTCTCTTTTCTCCTTCCATAACTGATCATTTAACATTTACTGCTACCCCTTCCTTTGCTCTAACTCTCTCAGATACTCCAGATTTAATCCCATTTATTTCCCCCCACTGAAACTCTCCTACCCCCTTCAGCTTTGTTTCGCTTAGGGCCAGGACATCCAACTTCTTTTCATTCATAACATCAGCAATCATCTGTTTCTTGTCATCCGCACTACATCCACGCACATTTAAGCAACCCAGTTTTATAAAGTTTTTCTTCTTCTCTTTTTTAGTAATTGTATACAGGAGAAGGGGTTACTAGCCCATTGCTCCCGGCATTTTAGTCGCCTCATACGACACGCATGGCTTACGGAGGAAAGATTCTTTTCCACTTCCCCATGGACAATAGAAGAAATAAAAAGAAAGAACAAGAGCTATTTAGAAAAAAGAGAAAAACCTAGATGTATGTATATATATATATGCATGTGCGTGTCTGTGAAGTGTGACCAAAGTGTAAGTAGGAGTAGCAAGATATCCCGTTATCTTAGCGTGTTTATGAGACAGAAAAAGAAACCAGCAATCCTACCATCATGCAAAACAGTTACAGGTTTTTGTTTCACAGTCATCTGGCAGGACGGTAGTACTTCCCTGGGTGGTTGCTGTCTACCAACCTACTACCTATATATATATATATATATATATATATATATAT